AGAGGAGGGGAGGCAGGGATGAGGGGCATGGCTGCAGTAGGAGGAGGAGGAGGAGGAGGAGGTTTATAATGTGAGAGGCTAAGGTAGAGAAGAAGAGGTGAGACCTGTGTGACGCTACAGGGTGAGGAAAAGGAGGGAGTGTGTTAAAAGCTGTTAGCAGTCCCCTACCTGCCGCCTCCCCCCTGAGCCTCCGAGACGTATATCGAAGAGGGTCAACAAGTGCAAAACACTAAATAATTCATCATGGATTCATCAGGGGACAGACAAATTCAATAACAGTCAATGTGTTTTGGTATTTAGAGGTTGAAGTTGCATACGTCTGGTTGGGGCAGGCTGTACATTGTGTGCTGTATGTTCGCCTGTGTGTGTTGAGTCACTGCCTCAAGTCTCACAGCTGTAGACATGAACTTTGCTCCATCGCATGCAATTAAAATGGAGGGGACGGGCTCTGGAGGTGCAATTAAAGGGTAACTTTGGTATTTTTAAACCTGGACACTATTTGCCTGTGTTTTGTGTCAAAGTGACTAATGGGAGCAACATTTTTTTGAAACTGGCCCAGTACTGAGCGAGACTGCAGCGCAAGCTGCAATGATAACACTCCAGTTATGTGTGCACTGTCAATTTATGTCGACTAAAAGTGCTTGTTTTGTTACTGACAGGCTCAGATTATTATTGTATGTGTCTGTCAACATTATGGAAAGGATCCCTACAGAGATAGACCTCTGTGTTAAAGAGTAAGATCATTTTTGATTAACCAAAAACAGTCTCAAAATAGCTATCAGCAAACCAGACTCCATTTAATTAAACAGTAGATTTAGACATGTAGAGCCAGAATATTATCACATCTATCTGGGCGAATTAAAGGTTAATTTCAACCAAACCAGAGGTGGTGGCTGCTGGAACTGTGAAAAACAAACCAAAACCTTTTTTTGGTAAAAAAAATAATAAAATTAATGCCTATTTAAATGGTCTCCGGTGGCTTTGATGAGCAATTTTGGGGCTATTTCTTGGTTGGTAACTTTAAGAAATTAACTCAGTATGATAATTTGCTGAAACTGTCACTATATTCTGAAAGAAGTACATGAGATGGATAGTCTGTCCTCCTGATAGCCCTCCTCCTAGTGCCTCTAATGGCTTTTGCTACACTCTAACAACCAATCAGAGCGGAGGAGACTCTACCGCAGCTGTCACTTAATTTCTTTGTGAACTGCGGTCAAACTGTCAAACTAGGCAGCGCTGATCAAATATGAGTCACGGTTCTGTTTCTGCATTGCATATATCTCACGTCAGATGTTTTCAGAAACATATTTCAGTGTACTCTTTAGCTGTAAAATGAGAAAGTTTGTGACCCACCCGCCATGTTCGATACAGCCGACTGAAGTACCAAGCATCACCCAGCAGACAGACCAACTTTCTCATTTTACAGCTAAACAGTACACTTAAATATGTTCATGAAAACACCTGAGGCAAGAAATAGGCAGTACAGTTCGACCACAGTTCACAAGCATGACTGACATAACTGACACTTGCATTAGAGTCTCCTTTGCTCTGATTGGTTGTTTTCATGTGGTAAAGCCATTAGAAATGCTACAGAGCAATACAGGCGGGGAAGTATTGTATTTATACAGTATATCCGTTGTTTCAAAAAGTCATATTTTGTTTTCAATTTTGGTTTCCTGGGTGGGCTAAGCATGCATACAGGTTGACAGGTTGAAAGAGATTGGCAAGAAGGAAAGAGGGAAAATAAATAAATAAATGAAAGGAGACATGCTGAAGTTAATGAGAGAGAAACTGAAGAGCTGGAAAAGTCAACAGCAAACAAAATCAGAACCATTAAACGGACTATGTGGTGTGTTTGCTGTTGGGATTAGTGAAAAAAACTTGCAGCTTATTGCTTAAATTTACCTTGTCTACTGTGACATGTCTAAATGTCTTCAGTGTAAAATGTGTGAGTGGCATTACATTCTCTTCAAATCCACCAACATTTATAAGACCTTCATGAGTCGTATTTGCTGCATTGATGCACTAAAACAACACATCTTCTAAATACTTAGTCAGCTTGTTTTTGCAGACTTGCTAATAAATATTGCTGTATTTGGTTTCCTTTCTTGTATGAAAGTTGTCATATAGAGTATTTCAAATGTATTAATACCATCATTATTAGCTGGATGTACACACACACACACCCTCATAGAAAGCAGAACAAAGCAAGCGCGACGATCCTCTTATTTTCAGCAAAGCTCGTGACTCAGAGCAGAGCAGCAAGGTCGAAACTGCTTCCCGTCTTCAGTGATCATAAGTCAGCTCAGTACAGTGGGAATCACCTCAGATGCCCTCTACCTCTCCTGCACACCTCTTTACAGACTCCACTCCTCTATTTGTTTTTACAGCCGTCCGGCTATGACATGACTACTCTCATCCCTCCACACACCCATCCATCATCGCCCTGCAGCAGTGGACGGCTTTCAGAGGATTCAGTTACAGCCCATAATGGCCTAATGGCTGACGCAGTTAGAGAGTTCACTGGCACTCACACACAAACATAAGACACACACACACACACACACCTACAGTGCATCCAGCAGATACACAATGACATGGGCAGAGGCACAAACACAAACAATAACACAGGTGACTGCAAATGATCAAGTGAACAAGGGCTTGATATAAGTTGACAACTCAGATACTCACAGGTTCACAAACAGATGAGTTTGAGTGGACCGTCTGACGCAAACGATGGTTAAAAAGATACGTGATTGTACACAAATGCACACACACAAAGGCAGCGTGCACAAGTGATGACTGGCTGGCCACACCCTACTGGCCCATTAGGCAGATGGATGGCATGCCAGAGGAAATGTAGAGTGTGGTGAGATGCATTAAGGGTGTGATAATGACAGGATCAGAGCAGGCTGGGCAGGGACACAGACAGACAAGAGGCCCCATAAAAATACAGTAGAACAACATCACTGGAGCCAAGGTGTCCCGCTCACTGACAGACATGCCAGTCTGAGGGTTTCTGTTTGTCATCTAGGGTCTATATTTGTTCTATAAATGACTGTTCTGTCTGTACATTACTCTGCACTCATCTGCTTTTTGCACTTCTGGTTAAATGCTAAACTGCTCATTGTCTCAGTACCTTTACTCTGTGCAATGACAATAAAGCTCTAATCGAAGAAAAATCGACAGCCCCCGTCCACATTGGCCTTCTCTGAACCTCATGATTTACTTCCAATTCCAATGTTGCCAATCCAGGAAATGGTGTGTCCTTTATGAAGTGAGGTGGATGTGGGGGTAAAGATGTGAAGGATGGACATGTAGCACGTTCACCTCCCCTCTAGGGATGTTCCTAATGTGTATTTTCCCCGGTGTTTAACTAAGTACAAATTTAGAATAATTTATTGGACTTTAAGTAATAAAGCACTCAAAATTTACCACAAGTGATGAGTAGTTTGAAGTGGATACACTGGGGGATGGGGAGCCGGTGGAGGTTATGAAGGACGGGGAGTAATGTAGTCAGTGTGTGAGATGACGAGATCTGGATATACTGTAGTTTCTTGAGTGTTTTGGCTGACAAACCATGGAGGAGACCGTTGCAGTATTCCAGTCTAGAAGTGATGAATGCATAGATGAGAGCCTCTGCAGCTGAAAAGGAGAGGGATGGACAGAGGCGGGCGATGTTTCAGAGATGGTAGAAGGCTTTTTTTGTGATGTGTTGGTCAAAGGAGAGGGTTTGATCAACGATGACACCAAGGTTACGGACATGGGAGGAGGAGAGCACAGTGCGAGCATCAGTGGAGAGGGAGAAGTTATGGGTGAATTTGATCACTACAATCTTTTCCTCACATTAAACCTCACCATAGTTACCGTTTGCAGAAGCTGTAGAAAGTGAGAATTAAATAATCGTTGACATATCGATGTATTCCAGTTTTTTTAAGGTCGTCCAGTATTGACTATTCTTGCCTGGTGATGCAGGCCAACTGTTAAACATGCAGCTGGTGACAAGGGATTACAAGAAGACATTGATTTCTTTTAAGGGTTAACAAGTAGAGCAGAATTGATTTGTTTCGATAAGCGGTGGATTAGTTGATTTATCAAAAGTCAATCAACAGAAAATTATTCCACAACTATTTTGATTAATCTGTTCAGTAATTTTTCAACATCCTCTGGTTCAAGCTCCTCAAATGTGAGGATTTGCCGTCTTTCTTTGTCACATATGATGATAAACTGAACATCTTTGGGTTTGCAACTGATGGTCAGATTGAACAAGCATTTTGAAAATGACTATTGCATGAGTAATCATTAGTTTCAGACTTAGTCACGAGCTAAACAGGTTGGGAACCACTGTGATTGCAGACACGGTCCATCAAGTCCATGTGTCCATCAAGATGCTGAAACCGTGCCACCTCCAGGGCTGCTTAGCTGAACACTCCCTGGAAGGCAATTCCTCTTCTGACATTAACACAATATCAGATATGGCCTGCTTATTTTATTTTGATTGAAAATGGAGCGCTCAAACGGCTTTTTAAGAGCACACATGAGATGAGAGAGGAGGAATAATGAGGTGTGACTGCACAAAGGAAATAAGTGGTGTGGACAAGATAGATTTGTCTTACAGTTTTTCTCGATTGTCAACACACGTTTCTCAATACAATAACGGCTTTCTCAATACTGCACACACAAAACTGAAAACTGCACACACAAAATGCTAAACCTGACACTCCCTTTGCATGAAGACTCTTGCCATCAAATCTCTATATTGTGTTCACAAAATGGAACTCATGTTTTCATTTTCTACACACAGTCGTATTTTCCAATGACACATACCATTCATTGAGCACACACAACTAAGCTTTTGCTGCACACTACCAAGCATTTACAGCACATTGTAGTGCAAAATTGAAAACACTATTGTAAAATGGAACACACCATATTAATGACAATGACTCTGGAAAATAAGATATTTCTCCTTTTGTAAAAATGACTCAGTGTAGCCTACTTTTTTCATAAAACAAACTTACTGTAAAACAGCACACAAATATGCAGCCAAAAATGTCTTTTTATTGTACATGATTGAGGAATCATCATGATCAAGCATCATCATGCCTTCGGTTTCTGTCAGGCCAGAGGGCCTCGTCCACATCACAGGCTATGTTCTCCCTATCTAGACATCTCTGGAAGAACCGCCTTGAGTGGCGCATGAATCCCTGAATGGACTCGAGGCTGACGTCACCACAGGCTTCTTCCATGGCCTGGACGAGTGGGACCTGGGTCTGGGGGTTTCGCTCATACACCTTCCACCTCCAAGCAGAGAAGAACTCCTCTATGGGGTTGAGGAATGGAGAGTACGGCGGGAGGAATAACACCGTAAAATGTGGGTGGGCCTGGAACCACTGACGTACAAGCAGAGCCCGGTGGAAACTCACATTGTCCCAGATGACAACATAATTAATTCTTTGTGGATCATCAGTGTGATCTGGTGGAACAAGTTGTTCGTGGAGGTCATCAAGGAAGGCCAGCAGCAAGTCTGTGTTATAGGCACCAAGATGTACATGGCGGTGCAGGACACCATGGTGATTTATTGCTGCACACATGGTTATGTTCCCACCACGCTGGCCGGGGACCCCAACAATGGCCCGCTGGCCTATGATATTTCTTCCCCTGCGCCTTCTCTTGGCCAGATTAAACCCAGCCTCATCTATGAAAATATATTCATATAGTTCATTCGCCGTATCAAGCTCCTGGATTCGCTGAAACAAAAACAGAGAGAATGCAAGTTACTGTATGGACAGAGAGGTCAAAAGACACTGTAGAAAAGGAAAACAAAATATATTGCTGTACATCACAGGTAGGCTACATTACCTGTATGTCAGTGCTTACTGTAATGTATGGGACTTACAAGCACAAAGTCGCGCCGTAGCTCCTTCACATGGTCTGTGTTTCTTTCGAACGGGACCCTGTAGACCTGTTTCATAGCTAATGAATTCCTCTTGAGGACACGGTCCAGTGTAGACAGGCTGACATTCTGGATCGTATTAAAAGCTGCATTATCTGCTAGGATCTTCTGTTTAATTTGTCTTAGGGTAATTGCATTGTTTTCACGAACCATGTTCACAATTAGGGTCTCCTGCTCTGGTGTGAAAACACGTCTTTTTCCCCCACTGTGAGGTTGTCTTTCGGTCCTGCAAAATATAACTACTGTGAGCACACTGTATTATATTGAAATGCAGTATTGTATTACAGTACACAGTATATACAGTACACAATGTATACAGTACACAAATACATAGTACACAAATGCTGTATTGTTTTACAGTACACAAGACAAATAGATTTATAGTAAAGTATAAACTAGTACCTGTTCTCCATCCTGAATGTTCTTATGATGGCACCAACTGTGAATCGGCTGAGATTGGGCTGGACCCTCAAACCAGCCTCCCTCATGCTCAAACCATGGTTCAGCACATGGTCTATCACAGTGGCCCGAATCTCATTAGATATAATGGTTCTCCTTCTTCTTACTCCTCCTCCTCTCTGTCCTCCTCCTCCTGCACCTCTCTGTCTTCCTGCTCCTCTCTGTCCTCCTCTTCCTCCTCCTCTCTGTCCTCCTCCTGCTCCTCTCTGTTCTCCTGCTCCTTCTGCTCCTCTCTGTCCTCCTGCTCCAATCTGTCCTCCTCCTCCTCCTGCTCCAATCTGTCCTCCTCCTCCTCCTCTCTGTCCTCCTGCTCCTTCTGCTCCTCTCTGTCTTCCTCCTCCTCTTCTCTGTCCTCCTCCATGTCCTCCTTCTCTCTCTCCTCCTCCATGCCCTCCTTCTCCTCTCTCCTCCCCTCCTTGTCCTCTTTCTCCTTCTCCTTGTTCTCCTCCTTGTTCTCCTCCTCCTCCTCTCACTCTTAGACTTCTCCTTCTCTGGTTGCTCTCTTCAAGGTTCTCCATTGTTCACCAAACACAGAGGAGGAGGCTCAAGGCACTTATATGCTGCAGTCCTGATTGCTAATTGCTCACCAGACCTGAATTTGTTGAGTTTTGAACACTTGTGTGTTGTAGGTTGATACCACTGAGTTGTCACATGAGAAGTGTGTGTAACAACAGAACATTGTGTGTAGTGTTTTGACAACAAGTTAATGTGCAATTGACTGCAGAGTTTATTGTAGGTTGAAGCTTTGAGCTTTTACATGAGAGGTGTGTGCAACAACTGCACATTGTGTGTAGTTTTTAGACAACAAGGTGATGTGCAATTGGCTTCAGAGTGTAAAGAAGGTAAGTCAGAGTCTAGGGGAGTCATAAGGGAGTGTGAAGTAGTGACAATTCGGGTCGAGTGAATGGTACGTGAAGTTAAGGTTGTGCAAATTGTGCCAAGGTTTAGATTTTTGTGTGTTAACAATCGTGAAAAACTGTAATGAGGGGCTGGATGTGAGGACAGGGACAGAAGAATGAGCTGAGCTAGCTGCAACACTGGCTTTGTGTGACACCATTCAGTGTCAGCGTCATGAGTGTAAGTATCTCTCCCTCTTTCGGAGGAACCTCTGTCTCACTGCCAGAGAAAAAATAGATAAAACACAGGAAATTGGAAATTAACAGAACAGAAAAATTCATTTGAATTTCTAAACCCAGAAAAAAAAAGCCAACAGGTGCAAAGCAGCTGTCAACTGTGAGTGTGTGAATGCGCTTTTCCGTTGCTTGAATGTCGAATACGAGGTGCGGTGAGTGGGAGTGGTTAACACATGCTCAGGAACCCCACTGGTTTGCCTGAAGCATCATGTCTGAAAAAACAGAGCCTGCATAGAGACTCACTTTCATTTAGCTGACAGAGCGCCAAAGCCTGGGAGGAATAAAAGAGAGAGGGAGAGAGACAGGAAGCTGAAATAAGACAAGAGAGACAGGGGGCGAAGGAGGACAGAGATAGAGACAGAGGCAGCACTGACAACACAAAAATCCAGACACAGCCGGAGGAAAATAATGACAAGATTTCTGTATGAAAGGTAGAGGACAAGAGGAGGGAGATAAACAAAGGGGAGGAAGCAGAGAGAAAGAGCAGTGGAAGTGTAAAGGCTCCCACTCTCCTATGATACATGTTTTTAACTTCTCTTTCTCTACGTCACCTCATCTTCCCTCTGGACTCAGGCTCCCCGCCCCCTCTCTTCCCTCCTCTCCATCACACCAGGCGTAACACCACGATACGGCTAATTTAAAGCCACTCGTGGCCTTGCTGATTAGTCTGCTGTCCATCACCTTGTAATTAGTTCTGCCGGGAAGATAATGGCAGATGGAGAGACCCATCACTCTCACACAGACACACAGACACACACACACCCTCATTTCCTTACCCTTGTCCTTCACTCCTTTATTTCTTCCCGGCAGTGTCACCCTGCACTGCCCTGCCCTGCCCTCCTCCTCACCTTTCACCATATCTCCTTTACAAATGTCAGAACCCTACAACAGATTTATTTACAGAGACAAATGAAACCGTGCACAGTCATTGTCACAACCGAATAAAGACACTAAATGACCTCAAAGAGACACAGAACTTCTACAAAAAGACATAAAATGACTAAAAAGACATAAATGACCTCAAAGAGACAAAGAACTAGTACAAAGCGACATAAAATGACGACAGAGAGACACAAAACCACAAAAACATGCATTAAGACAACAAAGAGATACGAAGATACAAAGAGTCTGATAATCCGCCCGTGGCTGACGTCACAGCTCTCGGACAGTGTAGCCGGTCTCCTCAGGCCCACTAAGAATAGCTCCACCCAAGCCTTTTGCGAATGCCTTTCTCTGTTATTGAGGAGGACAGAGCTACAGTTCTCCGCTCGCTCCATCACAAGGGCTCGTTTGCACTGACATGACACAGCATTTACTCCAACTTCACCAGCCACCACCTGCATTATCATCTTTCCTTTCTCTTTGTTGTGTTGTGTTTAAATTTCTGAGAGGATGCTGCTTTTCATCAAGAGGAGGCTGTCACTCCCACAGCGCAGCAGATGAATGTCTTTATCTTTTATATCACACAAAAGGTGACACATATAAAACAGACTCTTCTCCCTAGAGGACGTATACATAATGAATGCTGTGATTTATCATTACACAGAGATGATAGAGGCTCAACTTGTCATCAAACACCATTTCACTTAAAACAAATGGTGTAGATGATGTCTTTGATTGTGTGTCACTGTAGCGGAAGACTAATGCAGCTCCATATGGTGTCAAAAAACCCTCATAATTACTCTCTCTCATGGCTCTTGTTTGACTGCGTATGTCTCAGAGGCCTCCACAGGCTCCTCTGGAGTAATGCTGAGACTGGCCTTACAAATGAAGCACTGACTGTTTTCTATGAACGTGACTATTCTGAGGAGTACAGGCTGAAATTGTATGAGGAGAGCATAGTTAAGGTTGAGACGTGTACATACTGTGTGTGTATTTTAGTGATGACAGGAACCCCCCATCATACCTCCAGAAGCGTAGTCTGCTGATACACCCTGAAAACTGTATGTTGCGTGCCAGAAATAGGTCCACATGTTGGGAATAACTCCTACTCACTTTCTTGCCAAGAGTTAGATAAGAAGATCAACACCAACCTTATGTGTGGATATTTCATAAAAAGATTACAGACAGTTAGCTTAGCTTGTACTGCATTCATGTCATTATATTCAGACCGTAATTATGGGCAATGGAGCCAGAAAAAACATGTCAGCCCCCTAGCTGTGAGAGACAATGTTACTGTTGTCAGAAATCCCCGATATCTGCGACTTGGCGACAAGAACTGCTGAAGAACCAGTGGAAAAATGGCCGGTGTCATGACATTGTTCCGATGGCCCAAAATTCTAAAGCCCTATTGGTCTGAAAAATGGCCAACTGGACCAAAAGCCCATTGCTCCGAAGTCCAGTTTCTCCAAAAATGCACAATCCTTGCAGTTTCAGCATTGTTGGAGCCAAACCTTGTGGCTGTTTTTGGCAACGTTTTTTTTTTTTTTTTTAGTTTTTAGTTTTCTGGGCTTTTGCCTTTGATGGATAGGACAGTATGTTGGGTTTGAAGGGGGCAGAGGGGGGGGGGTGACATGCAGTGGGGGGCCCCAGGCCAGAATTTAGCCCGCGGCCGCTGCAGCAAGGACACAGCCTTTGTATCCACTGAGCCACGAGGCGCCCCAGTGATGTATGAGCCACCAAACTCGGGTGTTTTTACCAACCTGTTCCTGCTTTTCCAGCAGCTTTTGTGCCACCAAACCAAGAGCCAGTGTGTACATATGACTGACACAACATGAGGACATAATTATTTTTAAATAAGCCGCAATTCTGGACGAAAATATGCACATGCTGTGCAAAGGCTTTGACAGTTACAAAATGTGGTTTTACAGGGGGTATGTGTTAGGCAGTGAGCTTTAGAGGTGCTGGTAGGCAGATTTTGTACCTTTGGACGAAGCCTTGTGTTCTGTCTTTATGCCAAGCTAACTGGCTTCTACTTATAGCCTCATATTTACGTTACAAATATAAGAGTCATACTGATCTTCTCGTCCAATTTTTGTCAAGAAGGCAAGAGTTTTTCCCATTCTTTCTAAATATTACTTTAAAAACTCTAATTGCCTGTCATTTATCCTTACATTTGTGATGCTAACCTCACAGCATTTGTCTCACCCCCTCCAAAAACTCCCCTGGCACGATGATCCCCTCATAACACTGACACCGTATGTTACCCTTGTAAACTGCTGGTACATCAAACATATTAGCATGGATTACCCACAGTGCAACACTGATCCTGGGAGGGGAGTGAAACAGGAGTCAGATTATTCTGTTAGATCTGACAGAAAAAGAGGCAGAGAGAGATCAACTAACCCCATCCCCCTGTTTATTGTTTGCTAGAGGAGGAGCACACATTGTTCCAGACAGACTGTAGACTTTTACCTTCAGTGACACAGTATGCTGAGTGTTACCAGTGACACAGCAAGGAGATGACAACTTTACTTTATACCACATATTATCCTCAAACCCTAACCCATGCTTCATCATCTTCTACCCATCAAACACCCTCCTACATTGTTCTGCTCCTCCTAAAATAGGCGCTGACTCAGGATTAATGCTCATCTACTTAAATATTTATACAAGTGAGGAAGCTATCTGCTCCATGACTTCACCAAAGATGAAATCGTTTAATGCTCTCCTTTGCCCATCGCAGTCTCTTCCTGTCTGTGTTGTAAGATCACAGTACTCAGGGTGGGTCTTTGTGGGGTTTCATGAGGCCTCTACAGGAAATGAAAAGCGGTTCATATAGTCATGATTTTATTTAACTCATTACAACTGGTATATTTATTTAATATCCTAAAGTGATCCGGGACTTTCTATATTGCTTTTGCTCTCATGAGTGAAACCAGGCATTCAAATCGTAGATAAGTACAGTTTAATAAAGAATCAAAGAGACTTTTATTGAGGTTTCATCCGTAGTTGAACTCCCTGACAGGGACATAATTTTGTTGTGGCCCTTAGCTAGGCAATTATCTGATCGGTGATGTCATCTGTGGACACTGGGCAGACTTTTGCCTGTAGCTCAG